CCCCAAAACCCCAAAACCCCAAAACCCCAGCTGTGAGCATTTACTCAGGCACTGGAGATTAAAAATGTTAATAATAAAATGAATTACAAAAATAATAAATAGCAGCGACAGTTTACATTTAAACACGGACACACTTAAAATGCAAGATTCATTCGACAATGAGGAGCCCGACACTCCCACAGAGCCAAGAGTTGACTTCTTTCATAGAACTTGCTCGCTGAGACAGCAGTTGATCGTGTGTTTCTATGAATTCCTGGGTACATCAATGCTTGTACTTGGATACAATTTCACAAGTGCAGGGCTTGCAGTATGCTTTAATCTATTTGTGGCAATATTGATGGCATCTAAAATCTCAGGAGCAATGTTTAATCCCGCTGTAACGATAGCTTTATATCTATCTAGAGGTGCTCTATAGAAGAACATGGTTTTTATAGTGCTTATTATTAGTTCATAGATATTAGGTGCTTATTTTGGAATCATATTTGCTCACCTTTGCCTAGGCCAACCAGCTTTTCTCTGTCCTTATGACTAGTTAACTGGGTGCTATAGCTATGATAGCATGCTTCGAGTATCTCTACTGGAATTCTGGTGCACTTTCTTCTTAGCATTTATCATAGTAGCATAGAGTTATGAAATAACCTAGGAAAGTTCAGATGGCATATTAAAAGCAGCTAATATTGCTTTGACTTTGTTTGCTATGATTTAAACTGCAGGGGGTATCAGCGGAGGTTGCTTTAATCCAGCCTTCGGACTTACCCAGACTACCTACTAAGTTGGTTACATTAATTCTCTTGGAATGGATGGCTCTATTTTTTCAAAGTACCTGTGGGTTTATATTGCAGCGCCTACAGTTGGAGGAATTGCATCAGCCTTTTTTATGAGATTCGTCCACCTGCCTAATATACATAAATGAACTAACGCAGCTTATCAAAATAGTTGAAGTTTTGAATGAGGTAGTGAAAATAGAGTCAATTAATATTTAATTTTAACTAAAATTTAAAATTTGAATGAGTTGGATTAAAATAGTATTGTGGGGTTTTGGGGTTTTGGGGTTTTGGGG